AGCTAGGTGAATATAAAGACAAAATAAATGACATGATGTTTATGTTTTTTAAGAAGTTGTTATGCCACTAAATATTTATGCACAATTTCTGAGAGTTCAATATGTATTTACGGGTATAAAGAGTTCATCTACACATATCTTTTAAATCTTGAATCAATTTAGAATTAATATTTGTGTAAAGTATATGTATATATAATTCCTATTTATTTCACTTAACATCTCACATAAAAGCATTTTTCATGTTATAGTACATTCCTCATAAACTTACTTGTTCATGACTATAAAATATTCCATCATATAGATGAACCAAAATTCACTCAACTATCACTCTCTAAAGATAGACATTTGAGTTCTTTTCAACACTCAAGAGTACCATTAAAAAAAGGACGTAAGGAACATCTTCGTGCACAAAACTCCATACATTCTGATTATTTCCTTAAAACAGATTCCTAGAGGTAGAATTATTGGATGAAAGTGTATAACACATCTGTAGAATTGTTCTCCAAGAAGATTTTACCAACTCTACCAGTCTCACCAGCAGTGTTTGAGAGTGCCCATTTTCTTATTTATATAGAGGGTTTGGAGGGTGAGGACCACTCACCTTCAGTTACAAACAAAACAAAACTTAATTCTCAGCTCACCACCCCTTTCTTGCCCTTTCTATACTCTCTCTTCTGTACTCATGAACCCAGAGTCCTCTGTGCTGCTTCCTGACCACCCGGGTCTCTCACTGCGCTGCCCCACCCGAGTTGGCCCTCCCTAGAAAAGTTAATACCTTACACCTTCCCCTCCCTTTCCCATCCCCACGCCCAAATTCAAAACTCAACATCCTGCATCCTATCCTCTCAGCCTCCCCTGGCCAGCAGATTGATCTTTTATATTAATTACCAACAATGAATTAAAAGATAATAAAGAATATATGTGAGTGTTAGGCCAAAAAATGGTCCCCAAAAGATATTCACATCAAATCCCTGAAACCTATGAATGTTACCCTATTTGGAAAAGAGTCTTCGTAGATGTCAAAGGAAATAAGCGTCTTAGGGGCCGGCCCTGTGGTGCAGCGGTTAAGTTCACACGTTCTGCTTTGGCGGCCCAGGGTCCCCGGGTTAGGATCCCGGGTGCAGACATGGCACCGCACCGCAAGCCATGCTGTGGCAGGCGTCCCACATATAAAGTAGAGGAAGATGGGCATGGATGTTAGCTCAGGGCCAGTCTTCCTCAGCAAAAAGAGGAGGATTGGCAGCAGATTTTAGCTCAGGGCTGATCTTCTTCAAAAAAATAAGTAAATAAATAAGCATCTTAAGATGAGAAGCAAATCCTGGATTTTCCAAGTGGGCCCTAAATGCCATTACAAGTGTCCCTGTAAGAGAGAGGCAGAAGATCGGACACACACAAGAGGAGAAGACCATGTGAAGAGGGAAGCAGAGATTGGAGCCATGTGGCCACAAGCTCAGGAACGATGGCCAGCAGCCACCAGAAGCTGGAAAAGGCAAGGAAGAGATTCTCCCCTAGAGTTTCTGGAGGGATCCCTGCCCTGCCCACACCTGGATTTAGGACTCCTGGCCTCCAGAACTGTGAAAGAATAAATCTCTGTTATTTTAAGCCACAATCTTTCTTAGTAATTTGTTATAGCGGCCACAGGAAATGAATACAGTGTGTTACCTTGTTCTCTCAGTTAACACTAGGCTGCACAATAGGACAGGACCAAGGAGGGGAAAAGATACTGTGATTCAGTAAATAGCCACCAGGTGACAGCGCTGTGCAGGGAATAGCAAGGAAACCAGTTCTACTTCACGTTCCCCCTCAGCCCCCTTGGATGTCAACTTTCCTTTCATCACTCCAACCCAACAAGCCCGGATCTTCTTTCTGGCCTTGAAAAGCTGCAGGCTTGGGCCTTACACATCGGAAAGTAGTTAAGATTATAGAAATTCGGTTGGGCACATCAGGGGCTAGAAACATACATTCAGTAGATGGAGACATCGTCCCTCTCCCACAAATACACAGCTGGTGCTGAGACTCTGGTTTGGAAGATGAGCTTGAAAACCATCCAGGTGGGTGCATATAAATAATTCTAAACAGAGAGGTTTCTGTCCTTTTTTCCAGCATCTGTAAGGAAAACAATTTCAGGTCTTTTTAATAAATTAAGCTTAATCAAGTTCTACCTTTACTGGCAGGAAAATTTCTCTTTTTCTCATCTAAATTTTTTTCTGTTCCAATTTAAACCTCTTGTTACCTCAGATTGGTTGATAGAGAAATTAACCACATAATTATTTCCAAATATCTTTTTAAAAAAATTATTACAGCCCCAATAGCTTCCTTTGAAAATGCCTGTAGTCCTAGTAATTTGGTCTAGGAAATGAATTTCTCTGTATCCTAACTAAGGAAATATTTGATACATGTAAAGACATAATGTAAACCTCTGTATGCCTTGAATTAATGCACCAATCCATTCCAAGACTAAAATAACAAGAATGACAACAGCACCATTTTATCTGTGATGGTGGTGGTATTTTTTTTAAATACAAAGACAATTTCATTTCTTTTCTTAGATGACCTCAGAGGCTGGAGAGAGAATTTTGTTCAAGGAAATAATTATTCCTTTACTGGATTAATTAACATGCTCTATGGGAAAATACCCACTGTTTTCCTATTTGGAGACTTAAGTTATGAGAGGCGAAGCCTAGTCACCTGGCTGATAGTCACTGGCAGGGCCGGCTTCATGGGCATGTGACCAGCACAGTCACACAGGCCCCACACTCAGAGGGTCCCTGTGCTTGGTTTAATCTTCTGCCATCTCTGTCTCAAAATCTTGAATAATTTTTGGATAAGTGGTCCCTCCTTTTCATTTTACACTGGACTCTGCGATTTATGTAGCTGGTCCTGAGTACATGAATTCTGGTTTCCCAGAATATGTGTACAAAATTTAGTCTCTGTTCCAGCATGACTGCCTCATCATTTCAAAAACCAAACCAGTTCAAGTTACGAATTATCCACCTTTCCTGCCGAGAAGGACTACACACATACGCACCTGTGCGCACTTTCCTACCAGGCTATGGCCATCACTTTCTTCACAGTACTGTGCCCCTGACATCACACACTGTAGTTTCAAGGAAACCTATACCGCCATTGATTGGCATGCTGCCCGATGATCTTAGTCTCCTAATCATTTTCACTTATTAATCTCATGGCAGGTTAATTTATAAAGATGTTTTTCTTTTGTTTTCCCTGCTGTGCAAGAATCAGGAAGAATGAGAAGAAAACTATAGCTCCCTCTATCCAAAGGGAACACGTTTCTATGCCTGCTAAAGTTGTTTGAATACAACTTCTCTTCCTGTCTTAGTTCATTGAGATCATGCCAGGTGTGTGTGGGGTTTTTTGTGGGGGAGCAGGGCACGGAGTCGGGGCTGAAGCAGCCCGAGGGGTGAAGATTACCCAAGACCAGGAAAAGAACAGAGGTCTGCTATTTCCTTCGCTGGTGGGATCTAAGACCCACTCCATCTCTAGGGAGATGACAGGACTTCAGGAGGGAATGGCTGTGTCTAATTTCAGCAAAAATGCAGGGCCAAACATAGCCCAGAGGCAGCAGAACCCTTAGACTCCAGGGACCTAGCATGGACAATGGGCATACAAGTGGTAATCAATGTGGACCAAACACTGGAGAAACTGCCCCAACTTTTCTCAGGATGCGAAAAAAGAGTCAGTTTTATTTTTCACTCCTGAACGCTTCTTTTCTACAACAGTCCTCCACCAACATTTTTCCCTTGATGCAAGAACATGAGGGGTTAGCAGGTGAGGGTGAGGAATCCATAATGACCGAGGTTGAATTTTCTGCCAGTCTAGGCAAAACAGGGCCTCAAAATCAGGTATCACATTATTTAATTTTCTTTCAATCAAATGATATTTCTTACATGTCCCATGTGGCAGTTGCAAATTATTTCAATGTAATATTGCTGCTACAATGTAATATTTAACCCATAAAAATTCACCTGATGACTCACCATTTCCCACACAAATGTCCTTGGATTTTTTGCTAACGGTTTAAGAAAAGCCCTGTCCAGGGGCTGGCCCAGTGGCCGAGTGGTTAAGTTCGCGCGCTCTGCTGCAGGCAGCCCAGTGTTTCGTTGGTTCGAATCCTGGGCGCGGACATGGCACTGCTCATCAGACAACGCTGAGGCAGCGTCCCACATGCCACAACTAGAAGGACCCACAACGAAATATACAACTATGTACCGGGGGGCTTTGGGGAGAAAAAGGAGAAAAATAAAATCTTAAAAAAAAAAAAAAAGCAAAGAAAAGCCCTGTCCAAAACATGCCGACCTCTCTTCACATAGGGGGACCATTTATGATACAGAGAGGCCTGGCTAGGGCCCACTAAGCAAACATTTGGCTACTCCAGCCACTAAAAATTCTGCCCTTCAGGGTCTTTTCCTCAAGAAACTCTTCCCAGAGTCTTAGTGATAAGAGGAAGACTGGAGAAAGAAGCCAGCGACAAAAACCCAAGTCCTTGTGGAGAGGCAATCAGAAAAGGGCAGTGTTGGGACCCTACTGCTCCGACTATAGGCCGATCTCCTCAAGGTCCCTATGGTCCCTCTTGGTCGAGGAATTTGTAGCACTTTTCCTACAGGAAATTCCTTCCTACAGGAATTTGTAGCACTTTTGCCTAATACAAGAGCCATGGCCCCTATGCTGGGTGGTGTTTCCAACAGGCATTGCCTGCTACAGGACACTGGTGTGTGTCTGGTGCCTGAAGCCTGAAGCCACTGGAGTCTACACTCCTGTCTTAAGATGGCTGCCGGAAATTGTTCTGTCTATGAAGTCTCTTTCGTCACAGCTAGGTGATAGTTTCTGCAGCCATCAGTGCGCTGCTAGTTCATCAAAGCTGCTTCCCACTAAGTAAATTGATAGATCCAAACTAGGTCTCTTCTAACTCCTGGGCTCTGACTTAGAGGAAAAAGCTGACCTTTGGAATCTTATGCCCTAAAGGAGAATACGCCAGAATCTTAACTTTTTAAAAATGCTTTTATTGAGCCCTGTATGTGGTATTTCTGTTGTTACAGGTTCTTAGAAGGAGTACAGGTCAGTCTATCTTGATAGGAACTGATTTGGATAAACTAGCAGAGTAATGTTCTCAAGCGCATATGAGGGCCCTCCTGGTCCCCAGACTCTGAGATGATTTGTCTCCCAAGCTTTCTCCTTAATAAAACAGAAATACTTTCCAGATATCTAATCCCCTAACAGTGGGGACACTGTTCCTGAAGCTTCCTCTAGCAGCCCCCTTCACTCTTCCAGCTGCCTGACTGACATTAACCAAATCATCCCGGGTCTTGTGGTCACGAGCAACCCACGCCCTTTCCCCCGCAAAGCAGGTGCATTCAGGCACGCTCTTAGCCTAGACACACCTTGGGCAATATTGGATTTGAGGTCACCAAGACTTCCAGTTACCGAGCCACAATTAGCTGTGCATTGTCTTTCTCCACAGATTTGTCACCCAATGCATTTCTAATATGAGCCCAGAAGAGAGGCCTCTCACGGGCACTGTATGGCCAGTTGATAAATGTCTGCCAGTTCACAAGCTTCCTGAGTCAGTGGTAGCTGGATAACTTATAGTTTGGGATCTCTTCCAGGTAGATCAAGATTATAACGCTCTCATGCTCGTAGAACATCTTGATGCTGGACAGCTGTACTTCAAGCTGGCCCCACTCACTGTGCAGGTAGTGGTTACTGACCACACACAACATTTTCCAGCTAGTGTTGATGGCGTTCTGGATGTTCTCAAAGATGTCTGTACCGGGTTCAAAGTCCTGATGGCGAAGACAGAGCTTAAAGGTGGGCTAGCCACCTTCTTCTAGGGCTGGAACAAGCTCTTCACTACCCACTGCTCATCAGTGGCAGTGAAAGAGTCAGAGGCATCACAGATGAACTCCTTCTCTGTCCTATGCCACTTGGCCAGGTACCAGGTTTGAAATATGTACAGCCCCTACCATAGACATGAAGTTATCTTGGCACTGAACCAAGAGAAGACCATAGTTGTAACGACCAGACTGAAGGAACAGAAGTAAACCTTTCCCAGGTCAAAATTACATATAGCATCATCAGAATCTATCAACAAATTCTGGGTATTGGCTGCTGACAGGGGTAGCTCCGGAAGTAGGGGATATGGACGTTTGCTGTGTTTATTGACTGGTTCTCGAAGCACACATTGTCACAGCTGCACTGAAGTGTGTTCCCATAGTGATCAAAGTACATCAGAGACTTCAGATTCTCCAGATGACTTTGATTAACGACTTTTAGGTTGTTAAATTTTACAGAGGAGACCTGAAGGCTTTCTAAGCCAGAGAACATGTCAGGGTCAGTGACGCTAAGTTGTTTTTTCCAGGCTCAACATTTTTAGTCTTTTGAGTTTTTGGGATAAGGAAATATTTAAATAGAGATTTTGGCCTCCAGCTTTTGTTCCTGAGATACCCAACTTTGTGACATTAGTCAGGGAGTCAAATTGGAGGTGGTCCAGGAATATGATGGGATTTTTTCCTAGGAGTAGCTCCTGCAAGACATTTAGTTCTTAGAAGAAGTTGGCTGGAAAACCTGAATTCCATGTATTTGTCCTTCTAGGTTGAGTTGTTTCAAAGATCTGAGTTTATAAATGGAGGAAATGGCAAGGTCCTAGTTGTTTCGTATGTAATTTTATCAAAACTGAGATTCAAAAGTTCTAGATTTTCAAGCCCCGAGAAAAGGCCTGCCTGAAAACTTGACAAGATATAGTTTGCCAGGTCAAGTCTATAGAGGTAAGTGAGGCCAGAAAACGCATTCTTCCCTATCGCTTTCAGGCGGTTCTGGGAGGGAATCAGAACTTGGAGCTTGTTCAGAAACTGGAAGGTTCTGTGCTTCAGAGCCCGAATATTGTTGTCTCCAAGGTCTAAATTCTCTAAATTTGGAAACTGAGCAAAGGAATATCTGTCAATTTTCACTATCCAGCACTCAGCTAAGTTGAGTTCCTTCAATATACAGCCCACAGAAGGCCATATTGTTGAGTTCTGTGAAGGGATTTCTAGAGAGAAAGAGAGCTTGTAGATACCTCAAGGGTGAAAAGGCAAAATCTGGAAATCTTTTCAATCTGTTGTGGCTCAGGTCTAGGTTTGTCAAGTTCTGGAGGGCACTCCAGGTCCTGTTGACAAAGGAAAATTGGTACTTGTTTAGATTCAGCCTTTGGAGGCTGGGCATAGCATCAAAATCACTGTGACTGAGGTGAACCAGATCGCTGATTTGGCTCAAGTCAACGTACAAAAGCCTGGTATAGTTGGCAAAGCACTTTACGCCCCTGCATCAGTGGCATTTTTCTGAAAAGCCAAAGCCTCTAAAACAGGTACATTTCTGAGGAGGTGATACACTGCGTTCAAATTTAAGTGACCACCCCTAAGCTCCCAGTTACTAAGGTCCATTTCCCTTAGATTCTGTAGGTGTTTGGCTGGAAGCATCTCTAGTGTTCCACTCAGATTCAAGCTCCTCAGTTGGATCAGAGTTTCCAGATCCACATTATGGAGGACTCGAAGGCTATTCTGAGAGACATCCAGAGTGGTCAGATTAGGCAGTGACAAAGCAGAGAAATTCAAGTCTATTAGTCTGTTCCCCTGCAGGCTCAGCTGGGTCAGGGAGGCCAATGACCCGGGGCCGTGGTCCAAGGAGATGATGCTGTCGTTAGTAAGATCAAGGTATTCCAGGTGTGGAAGATGCTATACTGCTTCAAGAATATTGGGAAAATCTGCAACAAAGTTTCGAGATAAGCTTAAACGTTTCAATTTGACAAGAGGGACCAAGGCATTTTTGTGAATTGGGGTAATTTGACTGTGGATCAGGAGCAAAGTCTCCAAGTTGAGCAGGCCTTCAAAGGAGTTGTTCATGCTTTGAATCTTAGTTTCTACTAAATTCAAAAGGGTCACGTTTTCCAGTCTCCGAAAGGCCCTCTCATCTATCTTCCAAGTGGAATTCCATTCTAGTTACAAGACCACCAGAGCAGACAAATTAGTGAAGCTATAAGGAGGAAAGACCTGAATTTGGTTCTGTGTCAGGTTGAGGTGAGTAGTGTATCCATGGATGTCACAAATGGCATCTGTCATGCTGGTGATCTTCTTCCAAATCCAGAACACACGGCGAATATCCAATTCATACTGTGTGCATTTACTGAACCAGTATGTTTCTGCCAAAGACAGCAGAGAAAGCCCAATTAAAACAAGCCAGAGCTGTCGCGGAGGCAGGAGGTTCTCTAAGCCCACCTGGCAGCCCAGGGCCTCTGTTACTAACAGAAAAAATCCCTTCACATGTGTGATGCTCGTTTTTGAAGGAATGGTTCTTCCATTTTGACTTTGCTGCAAAGAAAAAGAGAGAGTTGCTTAGTTTAAATCTTTCTTAATAAAGAGAGCTGCTTCAAGAAAACTAAAAGATTTTGTCCCAAAGTTAACTTCCAAAACAAATCCATTTCCAAAGCAATCTCTATGCGCATCAGCAAAGACGAGAGCTATTACTCCTATAATCAAAGTTGTTAGCACATGGAGGTAATTGCGTACTTGATTTAATTTAGAGAATTAAGAAGCTCCCAAACCCTCCTCTCACCCCTGCACAATAAAATACTTCCACTGCTGTTTGGGTTGATACTTGAAATTCCACCACTGGAGATGCACTTTGGGGTCTGTTGGTCTCAGTCCATTTAAACGATAATCATCCACGGTGGGAGCAAAAAAACCAAGGTTTACAGGTCACCTCTTTTTTTAAAGATTGGCACCTGAGCTAACAACTGTCACCAATCTCTTTTTTTTCCTTCTTATTCTCCCCAAAGCCCCCCAGTACATAGTTGTATATTCTAGTTGTGAATGCCTCTGGTTGTGCTATGTGGGATGCCACCTCAGCATGGCCTGATGAGCAGTGCCATGTCCATGCCCAGGATCTGAGCTGACAAAATCCTGGGCCACTGAAGCGGAGTGCGCACGAACTTAACCACTCGGCCACAGGGGCCAGCCCCTCATCTTTATCTTTTTTTGCGTGGGGGGGGGGGGCGGAGATTAGCCCTGAGCTAACTTCTACTGCCAATCCCCCTCTTTTTGCTGAGGAAGACTGGCCCTGACCTAACATTGTGCCCATCTTCCTCTACTTTATACGTGGGATGCCTACCACAGCATGGCTTTTGCTAAGCGGTGCCCTATGTGTACCCGGGATCTGAACCGGCGAACCCCAGGCCGCCGAGAAGCAGAACATGCACACTTAACTGCTGCACCACTAGGCCGACCCCCCTCATCTCTGTCTTAATGTGAATGAATACAGAGTCCTTGCTTTAAAGCCACTCATTTCACCACAATTTTCATTTATATCTCTCAGTTAATTAAACCCATTATCAGCATATGGCATTCCTGGTAAACAGAAAAAAATACAATTACAATAAATTTAGATCTGTCACTCTACTTTCTAATGTGCGTTGCCCAAGGTTTCTCCAGCCTTGCCTCCCAGTTCAAACCTGTTCCCACAGTCAGTCACTCGTGGTAATGTAGTGAAAAGAGCACCAGCCAGGACAGACCTGGGCTCCAATGCTGTGTCCTTGGACAAATTATTTAACCTCTCTGAATGTGTTTTCTTATCCATACAATGGGATAATAATACTTACTCCTTCATAACGCTGTACAGATTCAACAAGACAACCTAAAGTGTCCAGCTTGGGGCCTAGTACACTGTGGAGCTCAATAAAAAGTTATACCCTTCTTTTTGCCTTAACTCTAAGCCACCACCAGCACACCATCTTTGTCTGGATCTTCTGGCTCTTGTCTCAAGAGCACTTGTAGCCACAGAGGAAGGAAAGAAGAGTATAGTTGAGTTGGGTTGTTCTCGTTCCTTTGTGTATATTTCCATAAGCACACAAAAATATATGATATGTTTTCCAGCACTATTTGTAATTCTAAGAATCACAAAACAAGCATCCATTATAGAAACTGAATATATATAGATATATACGTAAGAAAATGGGAGTTTCTTGGATTGGTACCTTTATGATCATAACAGTAGTACAATGAATAGAATCATAAAATCTGACTTTGAAAAGCTTTTATAAGTAAAGTAAGCCACTTACTGAAGTCTGTAATATTACGACTCTCAAGAACAGTACACAAGAGGGCCCATCTGCTTACAGCATCAGTAACCCTTGGGATTATCCACTTTTAGAATTTTTCCAATTTTGGTGGTATTAAAGTGATATCTCATTGTCTTTTATTGACATATTTTTGAATATTTGTGACTTTGAGGATCTTTCCATATATTTGGTAGCCATTTGGACTTTTTTTCTGTGACCTGCTTATTTATATCCTTTCTCCATTTTTCTATTGGGTTTCTTGGTTTTTTCTTGATATTTAGTGGTCACTTTTGTGTATTCTAGGTATTATTCCCTTGTTGGTTTTCATGATTTAAATATCTTCTACCTGTCATCTATCACTTATTGTCTCTGATATTCTTTGTTGACCAGAAATTTTTCATCATAATATGGTAAAAGCCATTGCTATTTTTCGCTTTGTGATTTTGATTTTGGATTCCTGTTTAAAAAAATTTTGCTGGGGCTGGCCTGGTGGCACAGCGGTTAAGTTCGCACATTCCACGTCTCGGCAGCCCAAGGTTCGCTGGTTCGGATCTTGGGTGCGGACATGGCACGGCTTTGCAAGCCATGCTGTGGTAGGCGTCCCACATATAAAGTAGAGGAACATGGGCACAGATGTTAGCTCAGGGCCAGTCTTCCTCAGCAAAAAGAGGAGGATTGGCAGTAGTTAGCTCAGGGCGAAGCTTCCTCAAAAAAAAAAAAATTTTTGCTGGGGCCAGCCTGGTGGCGTAGAGGTTAAGTTTGCATGCTCCACTTCAGCAGCCTGGGGTTCACCAGTTTGGATCTCAGGTACAGACCTACACATCGCTCATCAAGCCACACTGTGGTGGCATCCCACATAAAATAGAGAAAGATTGGCACAGATTTTAACAGTCTACCAACTATTCCCCAGAGTCCTGCTGGAATTTGATTTGGGACTACATTGAATTTGCAAGTTAATGTGAGGCGGAATGGTACTATTAACACGTTAAGTCACCCCAAATATGGACATGGTATATCTTCATTTAGTCAACACTCCCTTTATATTTTTAAAGTGTTATAAAATATTCTCTGTAAAATTTTGTGCTTTCTGTGGTAGGTTGTTTCCTAGAAACTTTTAGATCTTATTGTTTTGAGGGATATCATCTCTTTTCCTATTTAATTTTCTTTCTTTCTTTCTTTGGTGAGGAAGATTATCACTGAGCTAACATCTGTGCCAATCTTCCTCTATTTTGTATGTCAGATGCTGCCACAGCATGGCTAGATGAGTGGTATATAGGTCCACACCTGGGATTCAAACCTGCGAACCCCAGGCCACCAAAGCAGAGTGCACGCAGTTAACCACTACACCACTGGGCCAGCCCTTAGTCTTCTACTTATGTATAGCAAAGGTGCAAAAGTTTTGCTCTTTTTGTGTGATTGTTGATCATAAACGTAGAAAGCTTTCTGAATTCTCTTATTAATTTAAAAAATGTGACTGTTTATTCTATTAGGTTTATCTATTAACAATTATATTCTCTGCAAGTAATGAAAATTATGTATCTCTTTTCCTTTTTTTTTTTGGTGAGGAAGATTGTCCCTGAGCTAACATCTGTTGCCAATCTTCCTCTTTTTGCTTGAAGAAGACTGTCACAGAGCTAACATATGTGGCAATCTTCCTCCATTTTGTATGTGGGATGCTGCCACAGCATGGCTTGATGAGTGGTGTGTAGGTCTGCGCCCAAGATCCAAACCTGTGAACGCCAGGCCGCTGAAGCAAAGTGTGCAAACCCAACCACTACACCACCGAGCCAACCTAATATATATCTCTTTTTCAAATTCATACATTTCCTATGCCTTTCCTTTATGTTGGTCTTATCAGTCACAACCTCCAACACTATATTAAATCATGGTGATGATAGAAGATTTTTTTTGTTAATGAGACATCTATAGATTTTCCATTAATTATTTTATTTGCCGTAGGTTTTGATACATATCAAGTCAGAAAAGTTCCTTTACTCTAAATTTTTTAAAGAAGAATACGATTGAGTTTGACCAGAACACAAAAGAGGGAGGAGGAAATAGAGCCATCAGCCGTGGGAGAGTGTACAGGGACAATAACTTTCTTGCACAACGATAAACTGGCTCTAAGTATGGAAGCATGAAAATATCAAGGACTTACTAAGTGCCTGGCACTTTCCAGGCATTATTGACTCACTACAAAACTCAGCAGGATAGTTTTAACCCCATTTTATTTATGGGGAACTGGAAGTTCAGGAAGCAGGACTTGCACAAATATTGCACGGCTAATACGTGACAGATTAGCAATTCAAAGCAAAGGCATAGCATAAGGATAGGGTATGAGGATACTGAATCGGGGGAGTGAGGAAGGAGCCCCAGTGAGGGGGTAAAAGGGTACACAAAGTAGGGAGGCAGGAGACATGAAAGACAACTTCAACTAGTTTACAGCTTTGTCATTAGTTTACCCTTGTTTAGAGGGTCCCAGGCCGAAAGCTTTACTTTTGGGTAGCAAAGCTTCTATACCATAAGCATCCGAAGGCTGAACATCTGATTCCAGGTTCCCTAGTATTCTTTCCTCTACAACAAAAAAAACTAGCACAAAAATAAAATGTGTGGATGTAATCTAGCACAAAGCTGCTATAGAAATTCTAAAGCTCTGCTTCTCAAAATACCTGGAACTTAGCTACCTCCTAATCATTTAAGGAGCAAAATATGTGAGAAGAAAAGAGAAAAAATGTATTAGCAAATATAGAACATATAAGCTAGCCCTTTCACAGGGAAAAACAGAAAGTTGGGTGTTGTCTCTCTTAGCTACCAGATTCCATTCCTCATCCTCCTCTGTCCATTATATACTCCTAAGTCGACATTTCTGTCTGTGTCCTTTGCTATACGTTGGCTCCTTGACAGCCAGACCCATCCCTTCCCCCTCCCCACAAGGCCCCTTCCAAACCAGCCTATCAAACTCAAAGTGGGGTACCCACACAGGAAAGGAGGAGCTGTGGTTTTCTTCACACTGGAGCAAGCCAACCGGCTTGCAAGTGTCCCCATGATACGCTCACTGCAGAAACCGACAAGATCAAGGGAGTCATTCAGCAAACCGCTCAACCAGGGCTTTTCAAGGCAGTTGCTGCTGTGCTTGCATAGAGAAGAGTGTGCCTAAAATTAACACCCAGAAGATTCTAAATCCTTTGAAATTTCTTTCTGTTAAGCTTCAACAGTTTACTTCAGGTTAGGACATTTTAATAAATAAAAGGAAAC